CAGATATACACGTTACTCCATATGGTCAATATTCGAATATATTCATAATATATTGCTTTGTTGACAGCCAATTGAGTTATGATATTATATTATTTTAGTCATCGGAGAATACAGATCTTGGCCAGGTTATGACTAAGCTATTGCCAATGTGGTTAAATAAATTCTTGTCATCTACTGGGTTATTCAATCTGTTCACCAATTATTACAAGTATTCTCAACGTAGTGTCAAAGAAATGGCTGAAGAGCTCACGACAAACAAAGATCTGCAAGCTGTGATGTCATATTGTCACGGCGACTATGGTATGTTCATTTCTTCATATTGGACTTTCATTATTGAACTTAAAATTGTAACTGTCTTAATAGCTTAAAGCAAACGTCTGTTGGGTGATTTTATGCAAAGACGAATTATTAATTGTTAATTTTATTATGGTTTAATGTTTAAATTATATATTTATATATATATATATATATATATATATATCATCAAGTTAACCATTTATCATTTTGTTGACAGGTACCTTGCCAGGCGATGCCAGTTTTGCCTTGCATTGTGGACTGATGTTTCATTTTTTAAAGGGAGCTTCCTACCCGGTTGGCGGAGCTAGTGAGATAGCTTTCCATATCATACCTAGTATAGAGAAGGCTGGCGGTAAAGTCTTGGTTAGAGCGCCAGTATCTCAGGTTTTACTCGATGGAGAGGGTGGGGCGTATGGTGAGTGTGGTGTTATTTTTTACTGAAATTATGTTTTACAGATGAGTATGCCTATATTCCTATATAATCGCTATGCTCTATTCTCTTCTCCATTGTCCACACACTCAGAAATATCAATATAAAATTCTATATAATGTTAATATTATGCAAAGTACCGTGTGTTCAAACCGTGTGTAAAAGGGAGTGTTTAATTATACAAACCTCACTTCATGGGTATGTGGTCAGAATGATGCCTCTCGTTTTGATAATCAGAATGCTTGGAGTACATACGTTTTTTTTTCTGTAGTATATACTCACGATTATAGGTAGAATACAACTTCGACTTAAGCACAATTTCGCGAAGGCAACTAATGGGAAGGCATGTCTGTGTCATGCGAGTCTTTATTCAAATCAACGTGTTAATATAAACTGTTAGTGACGATATATCCTTTAAAACAGACAATGGTGTACGACATATCTTGGTGGTATAGTACTATACAGGGCGGAGACATCACAAATGTTATTTGAAGTCACACTTAAAAGTGATCTTTGAAGTTTTCCAAATGTTCTTTGGATTTTTAATATCCCTGTTTGATTTATATCACGATCATTTGAAGACTAGAACGTGGAATTACATTAAGATTAATTAAATCTTAAAGCACTATCCTCCAATCAGATTCTCGCATTTGCCAGACTAAGTCACTGTTTTATAATTGTAACTTCCCCAGAGGTAATATCAGATTCTGCGCTTGATAGTAATTTAACAATACTACCAGTACGTACCTAGTAGCTATTTTCCCATTAAGGTTTCTCTGCGCTTTTTCAATGGATCTCCTCTAATTTGTGACAAGGTCGAACAACCGGAAATATTCTAATCACTAAAGTATGGTGTGCTACCTGGACCGAGTATTATAGTCGATTATACAGTAGTGTTGAAACTTACATTACAGGAATTGTTTAGTACTTTTATTTATTTCACCAATGACTTATTCATGTGGCTTAGATTAAATAGTTCATTTAACTGGAAAATTGTTTTATTGCATTTTAATTAGGTATGATTGGCTTTGTTGTGCTAATGTGTATCTTCTGGTGTTATTGTAGTGTAATAAAGTTATCTGTGCTGTTTGTGTGTGTGTGTGTGTGCGCGCGCTTCATATTTAAACATCGCGGCTTCTGAAATGTCAGACGGTAATCATCGTGTTTAAAAATGTGATAGTGAGGGAGTATGCACATACTTGTATATTATTATTTACGTATACAATGTAGTGTAACATAGAATATTAAATGTATCTGTTTTATCCTGTTTTATAAATATAAAAGAAGTGGGAACTTATTCGCCTTTTAAGGTGCTGAACTATAAACAGGCATTACATAACTTTATTTTGGAAAGTGTTTTTAAACACCAACTTCTGCTTTATTATTCCCCAGTTGCACGATTGGAAATTTTCTTTGTCAGGTTGACAAATTAAGTCAGCATATATAATTATGCAGATGTATGGCGATTGTGTTGACACTCTATGTCATTATTCAGTTATGTAATATGAAAGATTAATTTTAATAAACTGAAGCAGTTGTGGCCTCACAATAGTATGTTAGGATTAATTTAAGTACGTGAGGTAACAAATAAATAAACATTCTGACAAAACTTCACGATCCAGAATGTCACATTATCTGAAAGGTGACATTAAGATGATGCCCTGGAGTGACATCGTCATATTGTCTTCACTGTGTGTTATTATTTTGTAGAAACCATTGTGCTATAACTTTAATGTACATTACAGAGTATCTATCTATGTGGCACCTTCTTGAGCTTTGTCTTGCCATCTTTCTGCAGGTGTTCGTGTTCATAAAAGCAGTGGTGATGTCGACATTCATGCTCCAATAATAATATCAGATGCTGGATTCTTTAATACGTTTCAGTCTCTTCTACCACCACAAATTATGGATAAATCAGGTTAGATTATTGTTTGTTTGCGTCGACAGACAAGCCGTAGATCTTGTCATAGAGATTCCCATCTCCAGAATAAACTGGTTCAGTGTTATATTGGAGATATTTGGCCGGCAATGAACGTTCTTGCTGTTTAAACCATCTATGATTTGATGTTTGCATATTTATATTTAGAGTAACATGAATATTCAGTTTGGTGTTTGTGTTATTAACTTCATAATACTAATGACATTTTGGGTTTTGATCAAAGCACAGATACGGGAATTATGCTCCCAATAGTATGTGTGACCATCAAATTCATGATGTGAGAATGTAGAAAATATATATTCAAACAAAAGTAAACACGTGGTTGATATCATTTATGATGTCTCGTTCTCTTTCCAGTATATAAACCGTTGGTGGACAAGGGAAATATTAAACATGGTGTGTCATGCATGTCATTGTTTGTCGGACTGAAAGGATCAAAGAAAGAACTTGGTATAGAAGGTCGTAATTGGTGGTTATTTCCTGATAATGATCTGGACAAACAAAGCAGGGATTTTTTATCACTGAGTGGTGATGAGATCGAAAATCAAGACATACCACTACTGTTCATTTCATTCCCGTCTGCTAAAGATCCAACGTGGGAAGAACGTTACCCAGGTAACCAACTAGTGTAAGAATAGAATGAATCTTTCTTTTAAATCGTGGCCTCTATGTGACGCATTTTATGAAATAAAGTTCATTCTATCACGGTTACTAGTAGTAACCGTGATTCTATGTCGTTTTGATTCTGAGGTCAATAAACACAATTGTAGCAATTTACTATATTCTCAATGACGAAGGATATCAAATGCAAACACGGCTTTCACCAATCTACGTTTTCTTGACGTCACAGAAGCGTGTCATCATTAGAGAGCGCAATTTATAGAATAATACTTTTGTGGTGGTGGTTTCACTGTTAGTTAGTTAGTTGATTATATACTTGTATTTTCATTACTGGTTATGGGTATACTATTGCTGTCATTGTACCTACCGTTCACTTCTATCACCTTCAGGTAAAAGTACATGTGCTGTCATTACAATGGCCAATTGGGAGTGGTTTCAGGAATGGGAAGCTGAACGTGTTATGAAGCGTGGTGAGGTGTATGAAAAACGCAAGAATGCATTAGCTGATGCATTGTGGAAACGAACATTAAAAATGTTCCCCAATCTGGAAGACAAGGTATTTTGTTTCAATTGATTAATTTTGTTGACTATTCAGCTTAAGGGCCAAGTTTATTTACTATTATAAATCACCCAATACATGTGTATAAGAAAATATTCATTTAAGTTTCTTAATCACCTTTTCTCGGCTGATATGAATCACGGAACACATTTGATGGCAGGTGTGCTTTGTTTTTGTACTCAATAGGTGGAATATTTTGATATTGGCTCACCAGTAACCAATAAATATTACATTGGTTCGCCAAAGGGAGAAATTTATGGTTTGGATCATCAATTAAGCCGATTTGATGCTGATACTATAAGTGCACTGAGATCTAAAACACTGGTTCCTAATTTGTATTTAACAGGTATGATACTCTGTATTGTTTTAACGCACATTTCAATAGGTATCTAGATTGTGCTTGTTAACCAATAGCATATTGAATGCCTATCTATATAACTGATTATATAGTTTGAAGCTAACATCGGAACACTGCATTGCCATTGCATTGATTCACTGTATGTTTTTCTTCTATTTCCACAGGGCAAGATGTGTTCTGTTGTGGATTTGCAGGTGCATTGATCGGGGCTTTACTCTGTGCAGGCACTGTACTCAATCGAAATCTCTTCATTGATGTCACAATGCTACAGTACAAAATATCACGCAAGAAAAAGGGAAAATGAGTATGCTCCGATAATGGATCTACTCGAATGATGTGACCTTATTTTATATACCTCCTAGATCGTCAAATAAATCGGTGGAGAGAGCAACTGCGACCACCCACATATTCGGTATAGCTATTAACTCATTAATATTAATTCGAACTAACGACGGTGTTCCAATATTACCGTAATTCTGGATTGGACAATTTGATTTCTAAATAATTTAAAACGACCCTAGCTTTATCCCCTTCACTGTATTATATTGACATTAGAACCTTATGTATCGCATTTATACTGTAAATCTGTGGAAGAAAGATGTACAATCTGTTGAATCAGTCCTCGAATGTTTAGATTGTGGTTGTTTCTGTAACCACTGTTATTTTTTGAATAAAACTAATTATTACTTTCAAATATTTGGCTCTTAGTTACTTGCATCTTTTATTAGTCCCCGTTCGGGTATGAAACATGGACTTATGTTTTGCCCTGTGTGCGTGCGTGCGTGCGTGCGTCCGTGCGTCCGTGATCACCTGTATCTCGAACATGCATGGACCGATTAAGTTCAAACTTCACTCATACATCACACATTATATGGGACATATGCACATGCATTTTTTTCATGATCCGATTAACGATAGCCGAATAGCGGCCATTTTAAGGCCGAAAGTGCATCAAAATCGCACATTTTCACCATTCCGGACCCGGATCTCAGTTATGCATGGACGGATTTTGTTCAAATTTGGTACATACATTAAACATAATAGGACCTTGATGCACGTCATTTTTTGGGGGGATCGGGTTTGAAATGGCCGACTGGCGGCCATTTTGTTTTAAAGAATTCAGTTCTGGATCCGTATCCGAGACATGTCTGGATTGATCAAGTTCAAACTTCACACACACAAGGTACATCATGTCACAAATATGTATGTGCATTTGTTTCATGATCTCATTAACGATAGCCAAATGGAGCGCTTTAAGGCCGAAAATGCATTGAAATCGCACATTTTCACCATTCCGGACCCGGATCTCAGTTATGCATGGACGAATTTTGTTCAAACTTGGTACATACATTAAACATAATAGGACCTTGATGCACGTCTTTTTTTTCGGATCAAGTTCGAAATGGCCGACTGGCGGCCATTTTGTTTTAAAGAATTCAGTTCTGGATTCGTATCCTAGACATGTCTGGATTGATCAAGTTCAAACTTCATACACACAAGGTACATCATGTCACAAATATGTATGTGCATTTGTTTCATGATCTCAAACGATAGCCAAATGGAGCGCTTTAAGGCCGAAAATGCATTGAAATCGCACATTTTCACCATTCCGGACCCGGATCTCAGTTATGCATGGACGGATTTTGTTCAAATTTGGTACATACATTAAACATAATAGGACCTTGATGCACGTCTTTTTTTTCGGATCAAGTTCGAAATGGCCGACTGGCGGCCATTTTGTTTTAAAGAATTCAGTTCTGGATTCGTATCCGAGACATGTCTGGATTGATCA